TTAAAATAAATATTTTTTTGAATATAAAAATCATATTATAATTAAAATTTGTAATAAAAAAATATTTATAATCATATAGATTATATTTTAATTATGATAAATAATTTATATTGTAATACAAAATTATTTTTAACTATTTAAAATTTCTTTAAAATATAAAAAATTGAGAATTTAAAAGTCTAGAAAATTTAAAAAAATGCTTTCATTAAAGAATAAAAATAACACCACAAAATACGATATTCATTATTTCAAAATAAGTTAGCATGACATTTGAGAATCATTCCCTTCACATGATCCCCTTTTCACATTGAGTGATTCATCACATCTTAATAAGTTCCATTTATACGGCTTGCATCCTGATCTTAAAATCAAATTGATAACACCTTAAATCTAAATAACAAGAATAATATCTTTATCTTTATCTAAACAACACCCTAATCTGGTAACAAATCTAATCCTTACCCTAAACATTTAATTATTCTCCCAACATAAATATAGGGAAATCCCCAATCTGGTAACACTCATCTTATCATGAAAATCTTGTCTAATCTGGGTAATGCAATGAACATCTGGGTATTGGATCAGAAATGGCAGGTCACAACAATTTTCTGTTTACAGTTCATGTTTTTGTCACTGCTATCTGTACAATGTAAGATTGTAGAGTTTGTCATTACATCACGTTCCTCGTTCAGTGCCAATTGGTTTGAAAGTTCTTTGTTTCCCAATTGCATTTGGAATGGACGCTTCTCGAAAATGTTTCCTTCTCTTGAGCTTCTTGTTCCTCCTGATCTTCTTCAGAAGTTTGGGGTCAACAATTTTCTTGCGTTTTTCCAATTTCTCTTTCCTTCCCTCAGTATAAGCTTGAATGGTTTTATTTCTATGATCATCACGTAATAAAGCCAATCTGGAAAATTTCTTGGGACTCACGATTTCCAGTTTTTCAGTAATTTCCTTGAATGCTGGAACAAGGCCACGCCTTATAAAGCATCCTTCAATAAGCTGCATTGAATTTGATTCAGGGAGATTTGGAGCATTTTTTAACTCCAGATCCAAGCAAAATGGGGAGTCTTTTAACCACATCCTGAGGGAGTGAGCCTTGGCTACAAGGACACCGTGACGTGTCTTACAAGGAAGGAAAGGCGATCCCATTTCCCAAAGGCATGCCTTCAACGTGCTATCAAGGGATACCATGTTATACTCTGCTGTTCCTGTTATAAGTACAACTGATTTTGGTGACTCTGGATTGCCTTGCAAGGAGGCATCCTGCCACGAAACCACAAAGTCCCAATGTTAAGCCAAATAGAGAGAAGTGGAACTAATTAAATGATGAACATTATATTTGTCATCCATGATGACAATGTTTACAATTAAAGCTCATAATGCAATGCCTTTTAATATATAAAAACTATAACAAAATTAAACACATGGGAAGAAGTACGCAACAAGATTAGGTCAGTAACGGGTCAAAATTGCATACCTTAGTCTAGCGGTAGTATAATAATGCTTTTGATTTCATATAGCATGCAATTTTAATGACAACTACCAGGAAAGACATCCTAAACAACAAAGCAAATGAAGCCTAATTACAGTGGTATGTTCTAATTATTTTAAACCCAAATACTCGTGTGTGATAAAGTGCGACAGTCAAAGGAGGACTGGTAATAAGATCAACCCGAGCTGCAAATAGTAAATATGACATGGGACGCCCAATAAAGTATTTGAATAGAGTTATGGTGGCAAAAAGAAAAAATTCTAAAACCTCTTATATTTGTCTGTATCTTTCAAAGCACTAAGAAAACAGTAGGATTATTGGATCAGCTTCACTCAAGTTATGGATTACTTCCTTAAACCTTAATATTGAATACCTTTAATCTTAAAACACTAAAACCTAGTCCATTTACTAGTTGACAGACTTTCTGTGGGAACATGAAAAAATTGTATAAAAGCAAACACTTGTGTGGCATAGTGTAGCACATTTCAACTCTAAAAGGTTTTGCGCTAACATCCAGGCTTAAGGCTTAACAATAAATCAATAATCATAGAAGGTGTAGTTATGGTCAGAAGAAGTTGGCTTTGCAGATCTTTATCACAATAATTATAGGAAACCTAGCTGAAATCTGCACACTACCTCAAAATTTAGCTAGTATTATCACTGTGGAAATAACTCATGCACGAGCATGTAGTAATAAAAACCTTGAACCTTAGAAGTGAATGACCATAGACAATTTGAAAGCAACTTAAAAGGGAGAAGAAAAGTCACCTGCATGTGGTCAAGCCATAACGTAAGACCAACAAGAGCTGATCCAGCAGATAGTTTTCTAAAATCAGCACCCCAGTCCTTATCAGCAACTCTGCAATTGATTGAATAAGCAACATAAAAGATCAAGTAACGCTGTGTCTCAGCAGTTTACTACTTCCTCCAATGTATATCTCAGATAAGAATTATGCAAAAGTACGCACAATACCTACCTAAAAATATCATGGCGATAAATGCTTCTCTTGATTGCTAATTGGAAAACCCATGATGCAGTGGCCCGGAGTTCAAATGCCCACAAGAGATCCAACAACGCATTCACAAGGTTGAAGGCTGCATTATCTTCCAGAGGTTCTAGTCTCTCCAGACATTGGTCAACTTCTGCAACTAGCGACTCAGATTTTTCTTTTAGAAGCCTACACAAAACAATTAATATACACTATTAACATGACAAATGTGTTTCTTCCTCCTAATGATTATAAAACTGACCTTTTAGCATAAAAAAAAATAATAATTAAAAAAACTAATCAGTACCTGATTGGTAGATCAAATCCAACACCTTGAAGTGCATTTAAAAGGATAATGGCTTCATTTGCTCTCTCAGACAAGCTTGCAGCTCTCATAAAGCACGTCCATATTCGATGGTCTGGTTCTATGCCTTCTTCCTTCATCTCTGCAAGCTTTTCAATTCCAGCTTTAAAATCTCCTTTTTTGAGATAAGCATCAATAACAGAACTATAAGGAAGAGTATCCAGAGCCACTCCGCTTGTGCTCAAGTTTTTAAGGACATTCTCAGCTTCCTCTGGCTGCCCAGATTTACTATAAGAAACCATAAGCAAGTGCATAGTGGAAATAGTTGGCTCTATCCCTGATTCTTTCATCATGGCCAGTAGATTTTCGGCTTTCAGATGATCCCCAGAGGTTCTATACATTTTCATCATTAAATGATAAAAAGCACGGTCCAATTTATAACCATTTGATCTAAGCTCTTCAAAAAGTTCCTCAGCCTGTTCATACATGCGCTGCTTACTAAATGCTGTTATCAAGCTTCTGTATGTGTCAAGCTTGGGCTCCAGACCGAGGCTTCTCATTTTATTCATCAATGAAAAACCTTCTTCCGGTCTACGGTCTCTGCAGTACATTATAATTAATGTATTATAAGTTTCTTCATCTGGTTTAAGACCAGCATCTTGAATCTTCTGGTAAATCATACCCATGTTTTTAAAATCTTCAATACCTAAATATAATTTGAGTATAGAATTGCAAATTTGAAGATCAGGCTTGAATCCTGCCTCTTCCATCTCACATAACATGGCTTCCACATCGCGAACTCTTTTGCATTTGCACAGCAGTCTAAGCATAACTCTATAAAGATGCATGGTAGGGAAATAACCAGCAGCTTTCATCCCGTTGTATATTTTCTGTACCTCAAATAAATTTCCTGCCTGAGCAAATGCTTCAAGTGTCAAAAGAATAGAACTTTTACTAATCTTGAACCCCATGTCTTGCAATTCCTGAATTACCACATAAAGTTCATTCAGTCTTCTATCAACAATTAAAGCCTGTAATAGACCATTTATGGAATCTACAGTTGGGGAAGGACCATCTCTCATCATTGTGTTAAAGATAGCTCTAGCTCGCTCGTAACAGCCACTGAATGCATAAGCATGTATTAGAGCATTCCACACCTTTCTATCCATTTTAAAACTTCTTTGCCTGAGACTCCCCACTAAGCTTTCTGCCTTTTGCCATGTCTTTAACTTCCCATATGTTTCAACAATATCAACGTAAACAGATACATTATCAAGTATAATACCATTTTTCTCTGCATGAAGCAACAAATGGTGGGCTGTCTCAGGTAAGTCCATTCTACAGTAGACAGACACCATAGCTTGGTACAGACATTCAGTCGGTTCAACACCATTGAATCTCATGTCAGAGAAAATCTGAGAAGCAATGTCCAATAGTTCATTCTGTATACATTCCTGAATAAGAGATTCATACATAGTACAACTCGTAAATGAACCAAGTCCTCCTTTACTTCTGTACTCCTCCAAGGCTGCATCTAACTTTTTAGCCTTGCAAAGTATAATGATGAGTGCTTCTGTGATCATTTGAATATTATCTGGAGCATGTTCTCTCAAGAATTCAAGAAGTTCACATGCTTCCGAATATCTAGCAGATGAGCTATATGAACTCATGATAGATAAAAAGATTTCATGATCCAAATCAAAGCCATTGCTGATGGCAACTTTCAGCATTTTAGCAGCATGGTCATAACATCCCCCCTTAACAAGAACCGATGAAATAACTTGTGGATTCATACCACTTAGTTCTTCCATGTCTCCAATAATTCTGTCAATGACATCCCACATGTTTTCCCTCACAAGTGCGCGCATCATGACCTCATAGAGACCATTGTCCGGTGTGAAACCTTCGCGAATCATTTCATGATACAACCCCATAGCCTTTCTCATCTCATTGTATCTCAGAAAGAAATCCAACATAACTGAGTACGCTAGACGATCAGCTTTGATCCCTGACCTACGCATGCAATTAAATGTCTCTTCAGCCTCTACTTGCTTTCCAGCCTTTGCATAAGCACAGATCAAAGCACTATACGTGTGCAAAGTGGGCTTAACCCCCGCATCCAACATTTCTGACATCACATTTGCGGCTTCCACAACCTTACCAGCTTTCCCAAGTGAATCTATCAAAACAGTATACGTAACTGCATCAGGATTCCTACCAGAAGACTGCATGTCTCTGTAGAGCTGCAATGCCTGGTCATGCCGGCCTTGCTTTCCATACATGTGTATGATCGTGTTATACGTCATCTCATCCTTTCCAAATCCCCTCTTCACCATCTCCTCACAAATATCCCTCACCTTTTCTGTGTTTCCTTCTCTCGAAAAAGCATACAACAAAGAATTAAGAGTCACAGCATCAGGGTGAAACCCTTTAGACTCCAATTCCTTAAACAGCTCCTCAGCCTTCCTAGCACGCCCGCACCTTCCATACAACGAAATCATAGCATTGTAAGTCCACAGGTCAGGTTGGCAGCGGTGAGACTCCATATCACTGAAAACCGCAACCGCTTCCTCCAAATTGGATTCCCTTGAACAAGCACTTATAAGGGTATTGTAAGTTATTATATCCGGCCTAATCCCGGACCTCCTCACTTCATGCAAAAGCTGAAGAGCCAAATTAGGCTCCATTGCACCACTCTTCATCCGAGCATTGATCAAAGTATTGAAACTCACAAGATCAGGCACACACCCTCTCTCACGCATTAAATCAAGCAGCTCCTTTACCTTGTTGAAGCGACCACTACGCGCATACACACCCATCATGGCATTGTACACTTGAACAGTGTCCCCAACACTTGACTCAGCCCTGGTGAAGATTTCAACAGCAAGAGCTTCTTGATTGGCCTTTCCCAACACACCCAAGATTGTTGCAACCATTCTGGCGTTGGGTGCAAACCAGTGCCGCAAATTCAAGCACTCGTAGAGTTCAAGGGCACGTTGCCAATTCTCTTGACCCACCCATTTGACCACGAAGCAGAAATCCGTTGGTGTCATCTGAACTTTGCGTTCTTCCAACACACCCGCCACGAACTCCTCTGATTTCAAGGCCAGAATCGTGTCCGTTAAGTACTTCACTCTTTCCCTCCAATTCTTGTCTCTTTTCAGCGCCAATTTGTTCATCTTTTTCACCCTCGTCTTGCTGCGTCTCCCCAGAGCCTCATTGGCTTCGTCGTCGTGACCCGGTTTTGGGGGTTCTTCGGGGGGCTCGGAAGGTGGCGTTTTGGCGGGGAAAATGTCGTTTTGGGGCAAGTGGGTGTGCGGGGAAGGGTATGTTTCGGGGAGTTTGAGGTGGGGCCATCGGATTGAAGGTGATGCTCTGGTGTAGATAAACTTAACGGTCTTAACGGTGTTTGTTTCTGAAGATGAATCAGTGTCGTTGTCGTGGGAAGTGGAGGAGGGTGAAGAGGAAGGTAGTGCGGCGTGTTTGGAATGTGGTCGCTGAATTGAGGGAAGAGTGAACAATTGTGAACCTGAAACGGAAACAGAGACAGACATGTTTGTTCACTTAAGGAGGTGTCTCTGTTGCAAATGCAAGTTCTGTAAAGTGCAGCATTTATGAAGAAAGTAGTTTGGATTGAATTGGATTTGATACTACGCCGAACTGAATGACAGTTTGAGAAACACTTCTGGCTTTTATTTTGTTATCCTGGAATCGGATTGTAGATATTTTTCTTGGCGCCGCGGGGTGAGCTTATAAAAGAGGAGTGATATAGTAATATCACCTTGAAAGGATATAGTGGCTATAATTTGCACTTTGAAAAATGAAAATTAAAAAAATAATCCTTGAAAATAAATTTAGTTCAGTAAATTAGTTTCAACGCAGTTGTGTCAAGTATTCATAGGAATTTATCCAAAAAATTTATCCGATTCGAACAGAATTCTTTTTAAGGGAGCTTCTTGTGATTTATATATATATATATATATAATCATCAAATTAGTTTTTAACTAAATTGAAATATTTTGTTTCAAGGGTAATTTATTTTCTATCTTTGTTAAACATCAATTTAGTCTCTGGAAATATATATGATAGGAACAAGTTGATTTTTGGAAGACGAAAAACTTGAAAAAAAATTCCACCAGTGACATGCAAAAGGAGATTTCAAACAAAAACAAGGGAGACACTTCCCCTTAATCAAGCAAAAGGTCTCTAGAAAAGCCTGTCCATGAAAATTTTTCACTATTTCAGCAGGTACAAATTTTCAATATTTCACCCTTAGTCCCTGAAAAAATACGATTTGATTTTCGGAAGCTGAAAAACTTGGAAAAAAAAATTCCACGGGTGACATGCAAAAGGAGATTTCAAACAAAAACAAGGGAAACACTCCCCCCTTAATCAAGCAAAAGGTCTCTAGGAAAGCTTTGTCCATGAAAATTCTTCACTATTTCGGCAGGTACAATTTTTCATTATTTCACCCTTAGTCCCTGTAAATATATATGATAGGTACAATTTGATTTTGGGAAGATAAAAAACTTGAAAAAAATTCCACCAGTGACATGCAAAAGGAGATTTCAAACAAAAACAAGGGAAACACTCCCCTCAATCACGCAAAAGATCTCTAGGAAAGCTTGTCCATGAAAAATTTTCACCATTTCACCTTTAGTCCCTAGAAATATATATATGATAGGTACAATTTGATTTTTGGAAGATGAAAAACTTTAAAAGAAATTTCAAGAGTGACATGCAAAAGGAGATTTCAAACATAAACAAGGGAAACACTCCACCATCATCAAGCAAAAGGCCTCTCTAGGAATGCTTGTCCATGAAAATTTTTCACTATTTCAGCAGGTACAATTTTTCATTATTTCACCCTTAGTTCATGGAAATATATACGATAGGCACAATTTGATTTTTGGAAGATGAAAAACTTGAAAAAATTTCCACCAGTGACACACAAAAGGAGATTTCAACCATAAACAAGAGAAACACTTCCCCTTAATCAAGTAAAATGTCTCTTGGAAAGCTTGTCCATGAAAATATTTCACTATTTCAGGCTTTCAGCAGCAACGTTAGAGTTCCTATGCTTCTGTTCTCCTCTCACCCATCCTCCATTTCATGTGCTGAACAAACAGTTTGATTTTATTGAGGATTTGATGAACATGCTTACTTACCTCCACTTGTTAAGTTGGTGGATGAATTTTTTATACTATAGTTAACAAAAAAAGATGACAACATATGCTATATTAGCATAAAATCATATTATATTAGCGCAAAATCATACTAGATTCCTAGTCTGAACCATAATTGCAAGAGACAAATACCATATCAGACCAGATAGAAATTAGAAGCCTCCCACACAATCATCCATTTTTAAAAGTATCTAGGACAATTTAAACTAAGTGAGGAGTTTGATCCTTTACACTAGCATATACAAAAAACAGGAAGATGTTCACCTATTTGATGCTTTTCAAGTACAGAAAAGAGATTAGTCATCATATTCTAAGGATGATACTCCTTTACAATGGACCAAAAGTTTCATGAGCAAAATATACTATTCAGATGACCCTTCAAAACCATCTTCCATCCACGACAAAAAACACATTTTCTTTCAGTTTCTTGACACTATTCAAATAGTTTGAAGTCCTCCGGCCACCACCTTGGACGAGGAAAACTAAGACCACAAGACTCTGCAGATTTCATCGTCTTAAGAATATCACCAACTTCAGAACACTCCTCCAAGATAACTTTCAACACATCATACAAAGAGAACTTGTTTTTCTCCCCGCTGCTTCCACATTTCGATCCATACGCGGCATCCTCCAGACCACGGCGCTTTGAGGGTGGCACCTTACCTTCTTCTTCTTTCCCTTTCTGCAGTTGCACTCCTGAAGCATCATTACCCAAACCCTCCTTCGAAAGTTTCGATTTTTTCATCGGCGACTCACCCAAATCAGACGGTGCCCTTTCACCATCACGAATCTTGCCCAACACATCTCCTCGGGCCTCCACATCGACGGGGGTGGTGGTGGTCCGTCGCTGGCCGTCGCCGGAGGGTGGCAAGGACTCCTCCGGCGTGGTGAGGTGGCGGTTGTAAGAGAAAAAAGGAGCATCACGCAAGAGTTGTTCCTGGGAAGAGGATAGCTGAGAGAGATCGAAGAGAAAAGCGTAGGGATCGTGGTTATCACTCACACTGTGCCTCTCCGCCATCGAAACCTAATCACTCTTCTTCCTACCAAAACTGTTCACTCCAAAACCATTTTCGAATTTATATAAACAGCTCTAAAACAATTTCTTTTAATGATTAATTTTATTTCTTTTAAGTCCTTACTCCTTACCGTTGCCGTTTCATCTTCTCTAATTTTGAATCTTTTATATAGTAAAATAAATATTTTCAATCTTTATATTTATTTTTATTAATTATTTTAATCTTTCATAATTTTTTAAGATATATTTCGAATTTTTATAATTATTTTTTAATCTTTTTAATTTATGCTGTTATTTTTTTTTATTGATGTCTCTTTTGTATTAATGGGATAGAAATATTTAATTTTATAATAATAAAAAATAATGTTTTAATAATGAACATTATAAATACGAGAAAAAAAATTTAAAAATATTGAAGAACCTAATTTAGAATAACTTTATTAAAATAATTTTGATATAAAAAATATATAATTAAATACCTTTACTATGTAATTACAAAAAAATCTTGTAAGCTAAAAAAAAAACAAAAATAATTGAAAAAACTATAAATATAAGATTAAATTTTTTTAAAATTAAATTATAAAGAATTAAAAATAATAAGTATAGAGACTAAAAAAATATATTTAAAATTATAAGGATTAAAATATAAAGTAATTAAAATTAAAAAATTAAAAATATTTTAATCTTTTATAATTTTATCAAAATTTATGGATTTGGCTAAATAAATAATAATTTTGAATTTAATGATTAAATCATTAAAATCAAATCTTATATATTAAAGACAAATTCTTATATAATTTAATTCTTATTTATCATATTTTTATATTTTTAAAATAAATTCAACGAGAAGATTTTAAGAATTTTTTTAAAATTCTTATTTATCATGTTCTTATTAATTTAATTTATATAACAGACCCGAAATTCTCATGTCTAGGAAATATTGAGATTTGGTGATTTAGCAAAGGAATTGAGGAACAAGGTTTAACAAGAAAACAAAAACATATATATTAAAGTAAGTTCTAATTTAAATAAATCTCCCAAAAAAAATAATTTATTAATTTTTAAAATTTTATATGTTTTTGAATATATTAAATGTCATTTATTATTCACAAAAATAATATATTACCATATAAGCAGTTAAAAAAATAACATGAAATAAAAAAAACGTTAATCTGCGATCAATGTGTAAATCAATACATTCAAAGATAATAAAGGAAATTGTTATAATATATAACATACATTAAACCGTAAAAATACGTTTATCTATAATAATAAATTAATTAGTTTAATAGATGAATTATTTTTTTAAAAATAAAATTATATAGTAATAATAAAGTAAAAAAGATTAAAATTAAAATTTTTATTCTCAAACAATACTTAAAAAAATCCAATTTTTTCAAAATTCTATCCAATATTCTTTCATTATTTGGATCTAAAGGGAAATTTTATAACAAATAAATAATAAAAAATAATTAGACAATAAAAATATCTAAAAATATTAATTTTAAATTTTAAAAAGTAAAAAATTAAAAACAAAAACTTATTATTTTTCAAAGACTTAAAAACATATATTTATGACATTTTATAAATATAATAAATGAATGTATAATAATTAATGAACGAAAGTAAGAATTCAAATTTCAAATACTTAGTAGTTACAAATTTTTTATTTTTTTTTCATTTTTTAAGAAAAAGCGCTACCTGTCGTAAAACAGATAATGCCAAACCGAACTTGGCCGGTTTCAGATATTGTAGCTCAGACACTCAAATACCTTGGAAGATAATGTCAAAGTTCCAACCTTCACGCCACCTTAATTCGTTTTTTCTGTCATTGGTTCTATTCTTTGAAAATATGATTGTATTTGAAGTATGTGATACTTGTTTGTAACAGAAACATCTCAGGGCAATATAGTAGCATGGATATGCAATCCCTTTTCTGTTCAATGCAAATTTCACCATCATACAATCTCGGTAACCCTCTTCCACGCTTCTCTCAAGTAAGTGCTACCCAATGTACTAAAAAACCCAACTTTCTCAATTCCCCAAATCGCTGGGTTCGAAACAAGGGTTCTAAAGAAGTGGGTTCAGAATTTGATAGCAAAAAAATGCCTTTTAAGAGTCCGGATCCTGATATTGGGGAAAATGAAGAAGTTTCCGGCAATTTGTGCAGCCAATTAATCTGTGAATGTTGCAAAGAAGGAGACTTGGATAGAGCTATGTCTCTTCTTGCTCAAATGGAAGCTAAGGGGTTTCACCTCAGTTCAGCATCTTATACTAGTCTCATTGAAGCCCTTGGAAATGTTGGAAGGACTTCAGAGGCTGATATGTTGTTTAAGGAAATGGTTTGTTATGGCTATAAACCGAAATTGAACTTGTACAATAGTTTGCTTAGAGGGTTTTTGAAGAAAGGTCTCTTAGAACTTGCAAATGGGCTCTTGCAGGAAATGGATGACTCGGGCATTTGGAGGAGTCAAGAGACATATAAGATCTTTCTGGATTACTATGTTGGTGCTGGAAGGTTGGAAGATACTTGGTCAACAATCAATGAGATGAAACAAAAAGGGTTTCCACTTAACTCATTTGTGTACAGCAAGGTTGTTGGGATTTATAGGGACAATGGGATGTGGAAGAAAGCAATAGAGATTTTGGAAGAGATTAGAGAGAGGGGGATTTCTTTAGACATTCATATTTGTAACAGCATTATTGATACCTTTGGCAGATATGGCGAATTAGATGAGGCGTTGAAGTTGTTTAAGAAAATGAAAAATGAAGGTATAAGGCCCAACATAGTGACATGGAATTCACTGATTAAGTGGCACTGCAGAGAGGGTGATTTCATGAAAGCCTTTTATTTGTTCACTGATATGCAAGAGCAAGGATTGTATCCAGATCCTAAGATCTTTGTCACCATCATTAGCTGCTTGGGGGAGCAGGGAAAGTGGGACATAATAAAGAAATATTTTGAAAGCATGAAAATTTGGGGAAATAAAGAACATGGGGCTGTTTATGCTGTTTTGGTTGATATTTATGGACAATATGGGAAATTTCAGAATGCTGGTGAGTGTGTGCAAGCACTAAAGTCGGAAGGCGTGCTCGTTTCACCGAGCATTTTTTGTGTGTTAGCAAATGCCTATGCTCAGCAGGTATGCTACGTCTTTTTATTGTTCCCTTTGTTCCAATCTTCTCTTTGGACATAACTATTTATATAAGAAGCACATAGACTTCAAAATAGTTGATGTTCCTTATCATATTTATTTCTGGTACCATACATGTACCCTGAAATGTAAAATTATTTTTGGTATGTTGTATACGGTGTTAATTTTGAAGAGTTAAATCATTTTTGAGCAATTTAGTCAAAGTAATTTTGTAACTTTTGGAATGCAGAGAATGATATTTCTTCTTCTTTATTTTTCCCAATCTTTTTTCTTGCCACTGATTTAGTAATCTTACCTGTAAAAAATGAATCTTAAATTTGTAGCTTAATAAAAAAAGGGAAAAAGAAAGTAAGATGCTTAATTGCTTTGCCTCTTTTAGATTGCAAGTATTAGGTATGACCGATTTGTTTTCTTGTCAGGGCTTGTGTGAACAGGCCATTAAGGTGTTGCAGATTATGGAAGCAGAGGGAATTGAACCAAATATTGTCATGCTCAATATGTTAATCAATGCATTTGGTAATGCTGGGAGATATATGGAAGCGATGTCTGTTTATCATCATATAAAACAAAGTGTAAGCCTTACTAGTTAGCAATGGTATCGTCAGTATGTTTTATTAATGCGACATTTCTTTTTCAATCCCTGATGATATTGCTATAACTTCATGAAGGGTGTTAGCCCTGATGTGGTCACGTACACTACACTTATGAAGGCATTTATAAGGGCCAAAAAGTTTGATGAGGTACTGTCAATTCTGCCACTATTATGTTGTCTTTTTCTTCTGCGTGACAAAGTTGTTTTTATTGTTTTCCAATAATATGCAATTTGCTATGTAGTAGAAGGAAGAAACTGAGGTTGTAAAATCTAGTTGTCAATTCTTGCTGATAATTTTATGGTCAGGTTCCCATTATTTACAAGGAAATGGAGAATGATGGATGCACTCCAGATAGAAAAGCTAGACAGATGTTGCAAGTTGCATTAACGGTGCTTGAACAAAGGTACTCGTCACAAATATATTTAACTTAATGGGGACTTGGTAGCCGATCATTGGTTCATATGAAAATTGATCAAGTATTTCTAAATCCATGGTGAGCGTTCTACTATTTTTGTTATTGGATTTGATGGTATGCACTGGATTAGCTGGAGCGCTGTTTGAACTTTGAAGAAAGAAAATTGAGGTTTTCTACAATGTCCTCCCTTGACTGTCTCCATCATGGGTGGGATAGTCTCCTTGAAGATTGAAAGGGAATGGCGTAAGAACTGAGAAAGACATTTTCCCAAAATCGGTGCTTATTTCATCTATTGATGGATCATATTTCAGCTGATTGATCATGATAAAGACAAAATTTACATGCAGTACCATAAATAATATACAAGTATTTTCTATTTAAAATTAGAGTTTTGCCTCGAGATAAAACTCAAAACTCTAATTTCAATTAGAGAAAAGTATCAACAATACTTATAATATTATATCTAACTTTTTTCCATTATGATAATAAAGAGCAGAATGTTATTGGCTACAAAAGATGCAATGACAAGTCATCTTTGTATGGAAATATGGGACCCTCAGACAAATTGGTTTGAAAATTTGAAGAGCAAGGAAAGCCAAGTTAGCCAAGGAAACACAGGAGATTTTGATCGTGTGTTGATCAAGGAATCCGCTGTGCTATTGTTGTATCCTAGGAATCTGTTGGCCTATATAATCGTGTATAATTGTTTCCTATTATATATTGTAAAAATTAGGAACGGTGAGAAATCAGGAATCTGCCTTTTAGAGTTGTTGATATTTAGGATTAGGATTCCTAATTTACGAGTGTAGAAATTAGGAATTAGAATAATTCTATCATTATTAATATTAATTGTAAATGGGAAATCTTCCCATAAAGAATTTTGTACTGTTTATTGAGATGAGTAAAATCCTAAAGGTATTCAGTCAAATATTCTAATATAGGCATCAGGGAGCCTCCTAAGGGATTGCCGGAATTTGAATTCAGCCTGATTTATATTTTCTCAATGTTCGCATTACTTTATTTTACGAAATTTCTTCTTATCCAGAAGTTGCTGCCCTCATTCAAACCAATGCTTTTGTAAATGCAAATCATATTTATGTATGATTTGATCATGCAAAATAATACTAAAGAAAATACATATTTATTTTCTCTACAGTATTTTAAGTGGTATTCCAAGATCCAAGAGTCCTACATTACCTAACTCATTGTTTTCAAAGTAGCTAGCAAAAGCAATGAGGTTTGCACGTAAAATCAAGAGAGTTTAGTTGAATTGAGCGTGTGAATTTTTATAAATTTCTTGGTAAAAAAGTTTGCATGCAAAATGTTGCGTCATTCTTTTAAGATTGTGTTGAATTACTATTTATGGTAAATTAAAGAAATTAAATTTAAAAAAAGAGTAAAATTTAAATTTGATTAAGGAAATAAGTTTAGAGCGCATAGAAATAACAAACTAAGCTTGGTGGAGGTGAGCGAAGAGTAACCGATGAAATAACAAAGTAAGCAAAACAGAGACGATGGTACTGGGTGGTGCAGGCAACCTCTCTGCATTGATGCTATGTTCCACAAAGCTCGTGCGTTCTGTGTTTCTCAAACGTTGTTTGTTGCGGAATCTGTGTACTACAAGTGCAGCACCAGATACCATAGCCAGACACATTGATGCACAGATACGTGCTCTTTCCTCACAAGGCAACATTGAAGAAGCTCTTTCACTTCTTCACACCCACGCTTCTCTCTCCCTTCAAACCTATGCCTCTCTGTTCCATGCTTGTGCTCACAAAAAGTGCCTCCAACATGGCATGGCTCTGCACCATTACATGCTCCACAAAGACCCCACATTTCAAAACGACCTCTTTCTCACCAATCACATCATAAACATGTACTGCAAGTGTGGCCACTTAGCCTATGCCCGCCACGTGTTTGATCAAATGTCGCATAGAAATGTTGTTTCTTGGACTGCTCTCATTTCTGGGTATGCCCAATCTGGCCTAATCAGAGAGTGTTTCTCTCTATTCTCTGGCTTGCTGGCTCACATTCGCCCCAATGAATTCGCTTTTGCAAGTTTGCTTAGCGCGTGTGAGGAGCATGACATTGAGTGTGGCATGCAGGTACATGCAGTTGCTTTGAAAATTTCTTTGGATGCCAATGTATATGTTGCAAATGCTCTTATTACGATGTATAGCAAGCGCTCTGGTTCCTGGGGAAGTTATGATCAGACGCCAGATGATGCGTGGACCGTGTTCAAGTCAATGGAGTTCCGAAATCTTATATCTTGGAATTCAATGATTGCAGGTTTTCAACTTCGTGGACTCGGGGACAAAGCCATTCGCCTGTTTGCACATATGTTCTGCAAAGGAATTGGGTTTGACCGTGCCACACTGCTCAGTGTCTTCTCTTCATTGAATGAATGCGGTGCTTTTGATGACATTGACATACATCTCAGGAAATGTTTTCAATTGCACTGTCTCACTATTAAAAGTGGTCTTATTTCAGAAATTGAAGTGGTAACTGCATTGATAAAATCCTATGCAAATCTTGGAGGACACATTTCTGATTGTTATAGAATCTTCCTTGATACAAGCAGCCAATTGGATATTGTGTCATGGACTGCTCTTATTTCGGTGGTTGCAGAACGGGATCCTGAACAGGCTTTTCTCCTTTTCTGTCAACTTCATCGTCAAAATTATTTGCCAGACTGGTATACATTCTCAATTGCCTTAAAAGCTTGTGCATACTTTGTGACTGAGCAACATGCCATGGCCATTCACTCACAAGTAATTAGAAAAGGGTTTCAGGAAGATACCGTACTTTCTAATGCCTTGATACATGCTTATGCAAGGTGTGGCTCCTTAGCTTTGTCTGAACAAGTATTCCATGAAATGGGCAGCCGTGATTTGGTCTCTTGGAATTCAATGTTCAAGTCTTATGCCATACATGGGCAAGCTAAAGGTGCACTGGAGCTCTTCCAGCAAATGCATGTTTGTCCAGATTCTGCAACCTTTGTTGCGCTTCTCTCAGCTTGCAGTCATGTAGGACTTGTTGATGAAGGAGTGAAATTGTTTAACTCTATGTCTGGTGATCATGGTATTGTTCCTCAACTAGATCACTATTCCTGCATGATTGACCTTTATGGACGAGCTGGGAAGTTATCTGAGGCTGAGAATTTGATACGTAAAATGCCGATGGAACCTGATTCTGTGATTTGGAGTTCATTACTTGGATCTTGCCGGAAGCATGGTGAAGCTCGCTTGGCCAAATTAGCAGCTGATAAATTTAAAGAGTTAGAACCTAACAAATCATTGGGATATGTACAAATGTCAAACATATATTCCTCTGGAGGTAGTTTTACAGAAGCTGGCCTGACTAGGAAGGAAATGAGAGACTACAAAGTGAGAAAACAACCTGGATTAAGCTGGATTGAGATTGGGAAGCAGGTTCATGAGTTTGGTTCTGGTGGTCAACATCATCCGCACAGAGGGGCCATATTAAGCCGGCTTGAGATATTGATTGGACAATTGAAAGAGATGGGTTATGTGCCAGAGCTTAGTCTAGCCTTGTATGACACGGAAGTGGAGCACAAAGAAGACCAATTGCTTCATCACAGTGAGAAGATGGCATTGGTATTTGCCATAATGAACGAAGGAAGCTTGCCTTGTAGTGGGAATGTCATTAAAATAATGAAGAATATTCGTATTTGTGTGGATTGCCACAACTTCATGAAATTAGCATCATATCTATTTCAGAAGGAGATTGTTGTGAGAGATTCAAACCGTTTTCACCACTTCAAATATGCAACTTGCTCTTGTAATGACTATTGGTAACATATACTACCTGCATTCTCCCAATGGCTGATATAACTATCGGTACAGTAGCACACTACACACATTGCTCTACTAGATCAAACTGTGCCTGCCACGGTGGATTTTTTGGGTCTAACTGCTTTAGTTGAGGAAGCACACAACTTACTGGAGAGCAGTGCATTGGAATTGTATGGAGGACACTTATATCTGCTTGATGAGTTCGTGGAAGTGTTGACCTTACGGATAAGGTAGGAAAGCATCTAACAGTATTTCTTCATTCATTATATTTATAGGGATGGAATAATTACAGAGTGGTTATTCGATGAGTTTTAAATTGAATAACCTCATAAATACCTTAACAGAGTGATGTTTTGCTATGTATTTCTTAAAACATTATAGATCTCAACAGCTCATCCAGATGGCATACATATTTGCTTCTTTCTATTGTTCAAAGGTAAATGTTGTAATAGATTAAAGAAAAAAATGTAAATGTTGTAAAATGCTAACACTTTTTTATGTGTATTGTACATATATAATCGTCTACTTAACGGTATCGATGGCTGTTGAATGATTGTGTCTTGAATCTTATGTAAAATCTAATGACAATAGTATGAGTACTTCAATGAAAATACCACAAAAACCTGCGCAAGTTATTTGCTTAATTCTTACATGAACGCCAAAATGCCTCAAGTCAACCTACTAGTTTTTATTCTACAAGTATATTTTTTAATCTTAAGCCTATAATTGCGTACAGTATGTTTTACAACCTGATAAAATAGGTTCAATTTCCCCCTTACAAAATAGCTCACGCAACAGTTCTCTGCCAGCCCTATTAATATTTATTTGATTATGATTTTTAAAACCTTGTAATATGCAGAATCAGGATTAACGATTTGAAATTAAAATATAATTAACTTCATTTTCTTCTTTGATGTTAAAAAGAAAAGTTGACAAATTAAACAAGTTAGAATATTGAGTCCGTAGAAACTAATGAATTAATTTAAATGAGCTTGATTTCCATGTTATGCCCCATTTGACAATTATTTTACTTCCTAAATACACACATACACATTAAAATAACATTAATTAAATGCATACATAACTTCAATACAACGATCTAAAATTCATGTGCATAAAAAATAATTATCAAAATATAATTTTATGTGGCCAAGTGAGTGAGGAAAAAACTATGCAAATGAACAAAAATAAAAGGTGGAAAAAATCATGAAAATAAGCAGGAAAAATTAGAAGAAAATAAATCATTCAAATGAGTAACAAAAAATAATGCAAATGGATAATGAGTATAAAAAAAATCATGTTAACATATGCAAGATACTATCAAAATCAATTAAATGAGCAAAAAACAAGCATGCAAATGAATGAGAATATGGAAACTTGGGGGGTTTCTTGAATCTCAATTAGGACAAAGTTATGTAGCGGCAACCTTCACTAACATAACCACCGAAAGGCTTAGCAATCATCAATAACGTAAATCTCAACCATAAACCGAGCTCCGGGAGTGGCAAATCACTGAAGTGAAATTGCAAATTAGAAAGATCGCGAGACTAACAAATTAGGTAATGCTATGGCATAAGTTGTTTCACTTGTTTTTTTTTTTTTTTTTTTAAGGGGAGAAAGAACTAAAGATGACACCGAAAAAGTAATGTAACAAAACATTAAACGCACTAAATTTTCATGTACAACTGGGAATTTAATATTCTTCTAGTTTTCTTGAAGAGAATTAAAGAAAGTAAAACTGAGAAAACACGATCATCAGCATTATAGTATAACTACTACATTAACTTAGCGTGTAGAATTCTAAATGAAGCACAGGCCTCAGTTAAGTTTGCAACCCTTTAGATCATACATGATCATGGTGGAGGGGGCGAACGAAAGTGGTATTACTGCATTGTCTGGACTGGCGGAGCTGTAACTTCAGCCAGCTTCAAATCTGTGGCTTCAGAATCCACAGATCTTTCACGTATCTCACGGTACTCTTGACAAATGGCACAAGGATGACAGCAAAAATGGGTAACAAAGTCCCCACAGGGTGCTTCCTACACAAACCAAGAACATCAATATAGCATAGCATTTGTTTTATACGAGACATCCAAAATTTTAGACCGGGTAATTCACATAAAATACCCAAATTTCTATACTATAGATTATTATGACAGAAGGAACTGCTATGCAACTGGGAAAATACTTCAGGTGAAGACCCCTTTAGTAGTGTTTCACAGTACCAGAAGCTTTTTAAGAGAAACCAGCCTTCCTCAAAATCAAGAAACTGCCATTTCACTATCTGCAAGTACTCTGAAATATGAATAAATTGCAAGTCGAAAAAGTACATTTGATTTCTATCTTAAATAGCTGATTCCATAATCAGGAAATGGGACAAATGGATTTGAGGCATAACATCCTTCAATCTCCCTTATAGATTTACCACAAGAAAAAAAATCTTTTCGTAGTGTAAATAAACAACTGTTTCCTTTCATTTTTATCTCATTTAAATATTAGATGCATTTTGAATAGACTGGTCTTGAACTATATTTTGGGATTGCTATTTTTGTTTCAAGGAACAGAACAAAACAGGGGATCTCTAGTTTTTTCCCTATTAGCACATCTAAAAAGTTCTTTTATCCATTAGAAAATCCAAGTGCCCAAAGTTTTGTGCTTCAAGTTTAACACAGACCAATTAACCTGCACTTAACAACCATTTTTAATATCTCATTAACCAGTCTCTTGAAAAGCAACAATGCAATATATAAATACAAAATTTGTATTCCGGGCCCTCCGGCTGTACAGAATTGTCAAAATTTTGAAACATTACAAGAAGAATGGAAGGAAATTAATGTTAGAACAGTTTATGTAAAGCATGGTTGTAATGGCATTACCGGTAAATTATACTTTGACCTTAAGGCCTTGCGGTAGCCACAAGCATAACATGAAACAAGGCATCCCGGTACTCCCCAACACAAGCCATCAGTTAAAAAGCAGCAGGCTGTATTAACCGCACTCCATAATATTAAATGAGTAACACATGATCCCAGAAAAGTTCCAGAACCCAGAAATTCTGCATTCTTCCCAAAGAGAAAGCAAGGACAAAGACAACCTATACAACCTGCACAGATGATAACAGTTTGCAGTCAATCATTTTAGATGATAAATAACATTATCATATTAAGAATAAAACAAGAGTTTTTTTGTAGCACTCAAATTTAAATGTTGGTGCATTAATTATTGTGTGTACATCAAGTAACATCCAGTGAAATATAAGAGAATTCATTAAATATTTTTCTAGTCACTAATCATAAAAAAGTTCAATGAGTTAAGAGTACACATAATTAATAATTTTTAACATAATCCTCATTGTTTCCCATGCTGTTGTTCTTAATTTCTAAGTTTGTTGCTTTCTGTGATATAATCCCTCAAACTCAGAAGCAAAGCAAAGCAAAATAGTCTTAACCTTTTATCTTTTGCAATCCACCAACAAAAAATAAGATCATGAGTTGTCAATTAGGTGTAACCGATCTCATTATTATTGTATTAAAATACATGCCTTCACCCTCTTTAGAATTCCTTTTGCCTGTTTTCTACAATTTAAGCTGAATATTGATAGTAATTCAACTGACATACCTCAAGAAATAGCAAAAAATCATCCAACATTGATAGAAATAAAAGAATAATAATGCAGGGTTCTAAAGAAAGTATTTCATATGCTTTTACATAAAATAATTTATCATTAAATAAAGGGAGTTTTGCACATTCAAAACACTGATAACAGAAGTTGGACAAAGGGTGAACCCTTGTACACAAGCTTTTCATCACGTGGAATCTGTGGAGGATAGACGTACATAGCCCCCACAAGCAGAAAATTTGTTTTTGGGATTTGAGCCCATGACTTCTAAGTCATAAGGCAACAACCTTTAGCATTGGGCAAAGGCTCACCCTCAATAGTTGAAACAAAGGATTTTAACAAAAATGAATATGACAAAATGTTAAAACTAATTTTGAAACTCAAACTATGTTACAGTTCAGCTGCGATCCTTTTGTTTTGTTACAGAAAAAAAGCTGCGATCCTGCTATGTGCAAGTTACAGGGAAGCAGCCTTGTGTTGCATTTACAAGAGGCTGATCATTACACAGCTACAACATATGACCTCTGGATTTTGATTTTATATAACAGGTTCCACAGAACAAACACACTAAATCTAAAATACAAGATACTTAACATAATTAGGATCAAGGACAAGGAACAAGGACACAACCAAATTTCCTTAAACATAGTCAAGAGGCACCTTTGTACTAAATGAGGTCACAGGGTAAGGAAGTAGCATACAACTCTGCGTATCATCGCAACATGCACAGATTCCAGAAGACCACTGAGTCTGAGCCTGAATTTGGTTCGATCCATTGCTGTTGGAACGTTCTTCACTGTGCTCAACCAGAGCGACATCCAGTGCCTCTGAATCTGACTGCCCCAAAGGGATGTAAGCAGGTGGCACATAACCATGTTGGTTCTTCATATTGCTTCTACAAGAAACAATCAATCAAATTTCTCCCTCTAAAAGCAGTTTTATCAAACATGAATTGGACAAGACAGCATGAAACCGATAAATCCAGCTTGTTCCCATTCAATCTTATGAAGAAATGCTCCAAATTTTGATTGAAACCGAAATTTACCATCAACCCAGCTGAAACTCAAAATTTTAATTATGTTTGCTAAAAGATAAAGAGCGCCCTATCAAACATTCGAAGCAGAGTTCTCATTGTAATTTCAAATCAAAAGCGTAAAATCATAGGAAATCAGATCTAACCCAAAATTTGAATCTTACAGAATACAGACATTGGTAATTAGAGAAAAGATGATCATAAAAAAAATTAGGTTTACCTTGGTAGGTTGAAACAAGCAACGCTAAAAAGTTCGTTTTGGAACGAGAAAACCCCAACGTTGTTCCTTTGTGGGTTGAGAGTTGAGAAGAGACAGATTTGTCTACTCCAGCGTGTCACTCACTTCAACCTTTGTGTTTCTTAGCTCAATTACACTTTTCTCCTTTCTAATTCTTATTCTGCAAATTTTCCCTTTAAGTTTTAATTATCTAATTCTAAAAATTCAATATTTTTGTTCAAATCACCTACATCAAATCAAACAATATAATAACTCGTGTTTTGTATGATTTTAAATTTACAGTGTTTAATTTTTATATTATTTTTCTCAAGAAAATTCACATTATTATGAAATACTAGTATTAAGTTCTTATTTATTGTATCAATATTTTAAAAAATATACAAATTTAATTTTTATTTAATTTTGTTACAATTTTTTTCTTTTTGAGTTTTAGCACAAAGGCTCCACCACCGGTTGAGGCTTTGACCAAAGAGTTTGGCTTTGTTTGATTTCATAGTTCATAAACAGAGCTCAAGCTTCACCTTTTGCTTTGGGAATCACTATGATTTCTTCCACTCTCCTTCCCAATTTCAAATTCACCCCTTTTCTCAAACATCATCATCATCCAATTCCACTCAAACCCTTCCCAACAAATCCCAATTTCAGGAACAACCGCTTCCCATGCAGGGCACTCTTCTCCGACGACGCCCCATTCGCCGCCGCAATCGGCGCTTGCATGTTCACTTCTTTGCTTTTTCCGGTCCCCGCTTCCAGCGATGACGACGACGCCGACTCCGCCGTGACCACCACCGACGCCAGGCTCGCCGTGATGGGGATTCTGAGTTTCATCCCTTATTTCAATTGGCTCGTAACTCGGCTCTTCCCTTCTCAGCTCTTTCATATTCTTACATTTTCCTTTTCCTTTGCTTTATCCCAATTCTTCTGCAGAGTTGGGTTTTTGCGTGGCTCGATACCGGCAAATCACGCTATGCTGTCTACTCTCTTGTCTATTTGGCTCCTTATCTCAGGTTCACAACACCCTCGCTTTTCTTTTCCTTTATAAAAATACTCATTTTCATTACTCATTACCCATTTTATCTCTGCTTTCTGTTCTTCCCAATTGCATTCTCAAACTCGATGCTTAGGTTAGGTTATGTTTAGATCAATTTCTAAAGTCACAGGAAAAAAAAAGGAATAAACTTCCTCATAACCTAATTTTAATTTTTTGAAACCTATTTTTTTGGTTTAATTCATCCTTTTAACTTCTGTATTTCTTAAACTTCACCTTTTGCCTTTAGTTAGAAATGTTTTATTTTAATACCTATTCATATCATTATTTTAAAAAAAATCCCGTTTAGTCCTTCCTGTCTCTTTCTATCAGTATCTAAAGATAATGTTTATCTGTTTATGCAAATATAAGAGACTAAAAAGAAAGAAAAAAAATAGTATTTATGTAGACTAAAATCAAATATTTTAAACTAGAACCTAAAATGTAAAGTTTATGAAAGACTAAAATGATAAAAAAATTTCTTCATTAACTATATTGAGACATATGTGGTCATTCTTTAACTGTTTTCTTATCAGAAGAACATTGTATATGCGTATAACCCTCTACTAATCCATGTATCATTAGTTAGAGGCATGGCCCATGAATAATTAGTACCCCAGAAAAAGAGCATTTGAATTTTAATGTGCTATTACTCCTTTGCAAAGTTTGACTTGTATTTGAGAATGATATGATGTTGTGATTCACCAGGACAAATCTATCGCTCTCGCCTGAAGAAAGTTGGCTGCCTATTGCTAGCATTTTGTTCTGCATCGTTCACATTCAGGTTCAAGCCAATGCTGATCACGTTTTTCTTTTAGTTAGATTTCCCATGCCATGCCCGATTACGAGTCTGGGAGTTTACTTGTATTTTTGAAACTATATTAAGCAAAAGTATTGCCAATCAACAAAAAAGCTATAACTTTCCAAGAGCTTAATGACTAATCCTGAACATACATGCCTGGCTTAGACCAACCATTTTGAAGGCTTGTTGTAGATCTTGTTTTCGGATTGACAGAACATTTCACATTGCAGCTAGAAGCAAGCATTAGAAATGGAGATATTCAGGGGTTTCAACTATTCAGGAATGTCGCAGATCAACTATCATCAAATAATAGGAAGAAAGACCATTTGAATCAGCATCAACATATGTCAGACGAGGTGCTCTTTGTTGTGTTAACATATATTAGTGGCATATTGTAAATAAGTTGTGGATTCTTCTCTAACGTGGATTGCAATTGTTGTGAATTGTCATTAAGGGAAGCAAGAAAGAGAAGAAGAACCTGCCACGTGCCCAAGAACAATCAAGGGATATTGGAGGTTGGGAAGATTCTCAGAGTCCTTTACCATACCGTCAGCGTTTGAATGAAGACTTGGATGATGATGGCGAAGAAAGAAGCAAGCACTAAACTTGGAAGATTCACTCAAGTTTCATGCCTGATGATGGTATCACCCCAGCTGCTAGATTAGTTTTGAGACGTTTTAATGAAACTATAGCGTTGTCTTAATGTTGCTCAGTTGCCTTGTTAACATATGGATTCTTTTCACGGCTGGTGTTTGGTTCATATATTAGTAGATGATATTGAAGGTGCCGAAGTGTTGTTTAAAAAAAAAAAAAAAAAAAAAAAAAAAAAAAAAAAAAAGTAATGCCAGCACACTCTTTTTAATACTTTATTATTGGTAAAAAATTATTAGAAATTACATGTTTTGTGAGTCTCATCTTATGTATCAAAATTTTATGATTTTCTACCAATAGTAGAAAAAGTATTATCCACAAAGTGTTAGAAAAAATGTTACTACCATGTCTATAATAATAATAATAATAAATAAATAAAAACTATGATATTCATACACTTACGCAATGCTTTACTCCGCTCCAATTTTATTTTATTTTGTATCTCTTCAGCACATATCATATTTTTATTTTTCATCTCTGTTTTTGTATCATTCGTCGGGTCACTCGGGTGTATACATACATCTAGTGAATTAATGAATATCATTTTTCTGGTATAAAAGGATGGCACCAGGGCTGATAAACAGTTCCATTTAATGGGGTGAATACTGAATATTGCCTCACATATACTTTACACGTTATAAGATTTTGAAAAGCCATGTCACCCGTGTGCCTAGGAACTACTTCAATTATATATTAGGCTGTTATAATTTCTGGTGTCCATTGGTCTGAAGTCTGAACCAACCTGTTAGAAATTGAAAAAAGGAATAAAATTAAGTTGATTTAGGTTGGTTTATATGATCATATCCAAACTAAATTAATAAATTGAGTTTCAATTCCGTGATCTAAAATTCAATGACCAATTATTCGAACCAATCAACCGAATGTTCCGTCAATCATTTATACTTTTTACTAGTATGTACAGTATGAAATTATTCCAAAGTAAATAGATGGTTATTCAAATTATATTAATATGGTGAAGTATGACAGATAGATAATACTTTTTTTTTTTCAAAATGTGGCCATAAGTTTGATTTTCTGAAAAAAATACTTGTTTGAAGTCAGTTCTTTCAATAAAAATGAATACTTTGAAGGATTAATTTTTGACTATCAACTAGAGAATATCTCGGATTCACTCAAAACGTTTGAACTTTTTATATGATTTTATTTAACTTTTATGAGTTTAATTTTGACATATTGTGAATGACAAAAATATTTTTTTATTTAATTAAAATTATTTAAGTATTGTATTAAAGCAATCAGTATAAAAGCTAACAATTTGTAATAATGTAATAATCTATATATTAAATGATAATGTAAATTTTTGTATACTTCCGTGTGTTTTGATTAAATTCTTTTTTGTTTAACATTTAACATAGCGTCTTTTGCTTAAAAAGTTTGCTATTAAACTTTTTATATACTAAAATAGGTTATTAAACATGATGAATTGAATTAAATTATTAGTTTTAGACTACCAACTTGTGGACATCCTTAACTTAAACATTAAGGAACAGATAAGCCAGAAAACCCAACCTAGGAAATGGATTATAGTCTGTCTGGATATTGCTGTATATAAGGTAGAGCTTGAAAGTTTTTCTAAAAGAAATTAAAGAATATTACAATTTTTCTAAAAGAATCAAGAATAATTTTAGTAGATGAACTCTCAAAATATCAGAACATGCTTTCAGCTACCTACCTTACATACTTGCCGGCCGCCACCTATCCATGAACAAAAAAGAAAGCGAACCACTGACAACCATGCCAGAGTTGATGGTGGATATTGCTTTGGGTTAAGGTCATGAGTTTAAACAATCTCTAACGATACTGCATGAAAACAGAAAGGACATAAAGAAGGGAGTGGGGACACAACGTACATAAGCATAATATTGTGTCTGATATTAAAGTTGCATGAAAAGAGATACAAGAAACATACATGCATAAGGTAGTTCATGTTCATGTTCATGTTCATGACTAGCTAGCTAGCTATGTCCAAGGGACACTTAGAAGCTGGATGAGCACCAAGTACAGTACAGAGAAGCACAACTCTTGCACTCTGACTAGTGTCTTTATTTAGATAATATACACGCATAGATATGAGCTAAAAGTAAAACTATGGAAGGGAGTGAGGCTTCTCCAAGTCCTCGAGACTGGTGGGGCGAAACCAGGCCTTCTCCTCGAGCACAGAGCCAGTAGTAGCATCAGAGTGAAAGCTGGCGGAAGTGGAAGGAGCAGAGCCCACTTGGTCACCAGGAGGCCCAAATACCCCAGTCTGTGGGTGTGGGGCCCAGTATTTGCCGGATTGGGTTGCGTGGATCACATCGTCTGGAACCGGTCCAGAGTGGATCTGTTCATCAGGGTTCTTGTCGTACACCCCCGAGCTGCTGTATCCTGCTGCTCCCCCCCTGCATTCCAACAAATATTCATTCAGTTAAATCATTTTATATTCTAAAATACTAGGGATTTCACATTAAAACTCTACCTTATAGTTCATTCTCAATGGAAACCAAATAATCAATTTAATTAATTTAATTAAGAAATTTATTTTTCTATAGAAAATTAAAAACAAACTAGTACAAAATATTAATTCTATTAAAAATTTTAAACACAATTTATATGCTTAAGTTTTCTCATCAATATTCAAGTATTATGTGAAGATTAAAGTTAAAAAAAAATCCTGATAATATTACTATTTAAATGTATTTGATAATTTAAATTATAATCTAAAGAAAAAAGTATTTGATAATAATAACAAACTGATAATTATACTTAAAATTAACAATTTATTGTTTGGTAAATTATTTTCCTGTCATCATCAACAATTGTTTTAAATACAAGATCAACTCCTAATGTCTTTTTTCAATAATTGTAATATAAAACAGATTTTTTTTTAAACAACCTAAATTATCTTAAAATGACTTTTTGCTTGAGATAACCAATTTATTTGTTATTAAAAAAAATTGAACTAACACTTACTATATAGTGGTACTTCTTGGTTCTTGGTATGCATATAGTGGTTAGGTGTCAAAAAAAAAAGTTAACCATCACGTGACGGGTATATATGAGCTTACTACGATTTGGACCACCAACCGACCAAACTACTTATCGCAATAAAGTATTCGGTCACATTTTCCACGCCCTCTTCAGGGCCCATTGATGGATGAAAACAAAACGTTAAAGTTTTAAAATTACAAATTAAATTATTTACTATAATTTTAAATTAAACAAACAATTTTAATATTAAATAAATCTTTTGATAAAAGAATCAGTGAATGCATGGATATTGATAAGGAAAACAAATCCCATAAATTTTACGAGTATATAGAGAAAGAAAAAATAAAAATAGAATACAATTTAAAAACACGTTTCCCATTGACGAGATGTGGGTTTTGTAAGTTGTAACACACTGCCGTGACCATCTCATCCCCATTTCCCACCCCAGGCATTTTGATTGAAATAAAAAATCATAACAGTATTAAAAAATACTGCATCACAAAAGCACGTACTGTTATTTAAATAAATCGATTATTCAACTCTAAGGTTAGAACCTGGACAGGTTCACACAAACACCACTGAAAGACAATAATGACACTAAAAAAATAGTTTTTAGCATCGAGTCCCAGGGCATCTTAACAGGATCAGATAAATATAAATTTATTGAAAGCATGGAACTCGCGGCTGTTCTGTATGCTAAAAAGTAAGTACATCTAACAGATAATGTTATTTCTTCGATACTATATTTTATACACGGAAAGTGTCACTTCATATTAGCAAATACTCCTAACTATTAGCACTATGGAGGGACACTAAGCCTCTATTAGAGCTAATAATTAGTTAATTACACGTATATTTGTTTAAACTAGGTTCTAAAAGAAAGAAAAGGAAAGAATCTCAATGTACTTTTATTTGGATTCGTAATAGCCAGTAGTTGCATATAAGAATCACTTTTATATGACAAACATTAGCCATTCAATCAATATTATAATTAAAAAAATTTGCCCGCGTGTCAATATAAGAAAAAGGCCCAATATAAGAAAGAAATAAAAAGTCACATGGAATATAGAACCATGCAAGACGACAAACGAATTCAGAGAGTTCAATTTTTTAAGTCCAAGAATTATAATACAGAAACATCAAACCGTATAGAACACTAGGGTTTTAATCTTAGGAAGGCCCCTTTCAAAAAAAAACTTAGGAAGGCAATAAAAACATTAATACGTAGTACGGAGATAAAAGTTTGTAAACAAAAAATTCCTTGCCACCGTCGCCAGAAAGAAGCAAAGCAACCCAGGATCCTTTCTAATTTTCCATCATCGATTAATTTAATTTTTAAAAAAAACTTGGGGCCCACCTACCAAAGTTTGGTCTTATCTCATCGTTATATATTTTCCACGTCAACATAACTTCATCACTTTAAATTAAAGCAAAATATCTATCTAGAAAAATAATTCTTTCAAAAATGAAAGTATTCATTCATTAACCAAAAGTTGAACGCGACCTTCACCCTTACAAGCAGAAAAAAGCACTCGTTGATGAAAAACAAAAAAGCAGTCAAATTTATATTTATAACAGTAATTATTAAAATTGGCATAATGTTGAAAAGAAGCAAAGTTGATAGTTTTCCAGGTACAAACACACACGGAAAGGGACGTGGTGGGTTTAGTTGAGGAGGGTGAGTTGGAAAACAATTATCCCCATCCACTTTTCTTTAGTTTGTCTTTTGATTCCGACCAAGGACTTTGATATTTTCCGTTGTCAAATCATACGTTTCGTACACAGCCAGAAAGATAAAAGATAATAGCGACCCAAGAAGCAGATGACTTTATTTTTATTCGTTTCAAAATATACCCAATGCCCCTGAAGGGGAAACTTGAAAATATTTTTTTTCAGAGAAAAAAAAAAAGAAAAGAAAAGAAAAGAAACTAATACAGACGAAACTTGATACAGGTATGAAGGCGCCAACACAAACAAGGATGATCTTCTCAGTACAGGACAGTCCAAGATGGAAGGAGATATGGACATTCCACTACAATTAATATATAATATAATAATAATATATAAATTTGGCAGCGCACAAACCCAGAAGCCTAGGCCACAATACTTTTATGATGTCATCCAAAAAAGGTTAAAGGCTAAAGAGGAATCAGATAAGGTCTGGGAAAGATTGTAGCAAATTAACATACAAAGAAAAAGGGGGGGAAAATTAAAAAGGAAACCCATGGAATAGCGATATAAGAAAATAAACAGTTTCCAAACGGTTTCTTTTTCCAAATAATAACCCTAAATACCTATTTCCGCTGAGACAAATTTAGTAAGTTATCCCTTCTTAACCATTCCTTGAGGGTTTCGGTATCCATGGTTAACGGATTGTTGTTAATTGAAAGATTTCAAGAAAGAAAGAAGAAAAAAAATTCAGCATAAACAAAAAGGGAATATTAGAAAACGACATAGTGATCTCCGCAAGATCACGAAGTGGTAGTTGCTATAAAGAGGCGTACGAAGTGGCTGATTATAACTGAGATCACACAATATGTTGAGAGTAAATTAACAGTTGAATTAACGAGCTAGCTAGCTAGAGAGAGTAATTGTAATTAAGTAAGTGAGTGTTGAAATAAAAAGAGGGAAATTAGAAAACCTAATTGAGTACGTACCTGAGAGTGAGAGGAGAAGAGGGAGAGTTGGAGGTCCAGATCCGTTTGGCGACGCACTTCCCCAAGGCGGTGATCCCTCGGCTACTCGAATTGGCGGCCATACAAAGCGAGGAGAGAGAAAGGGAAAAACGCAGAGCGTGTGTAGTGTGTTGGAGAGAGAGAGAATGGAGTGTGGTTTGGAAGGAGAATTGACAGGGGGTATTTATAATGGGAATTGGGAAGAGAAGGGAGGGTAGACACGAGACAGAGAGTGCACAATGCCGCTTCCTCTTCGTACCTAACACGTACGCAACATAACACTGCTAACACTTTAACACTTTTTCTCTTAACGCCGTTACTCCCTTTTTAAGACACAAAAAAACACCTTGTCATCTTCATCGCCAGTTTTAGGATAAGATATAGACTTTACCATTATCTTATCTTCTTTTTTTTCATTTATTCTCTTATTTTAAATTAATAAATTGTCATTTCTTATTTTTAAATTTTACTGTTATTTTTAATTATTATTTATTTTTGTTTTATTTATATGTGTAATTGTTTTTATTAATATTCAAGTTTTTTCAGATAAAAACACTTTGAAAAATCTTATAACAATAAATTTTATAATTATATCGTTCGCTGATGGTGTGATAATTCTTTGTGGTATAAATATTTTTTATCGTGTTAAAATGATGTTTTTATGTAATAATTACTTGTTCTTTTTTATTTATTAAAGAATTCAAATTCTGTAATTTTATGTATAAGTGAAAACATGCAAAGATATTTTTCGTGTTTTTTTTTGTTACAGGAGAAAACAGATATTTTTCGTATGTACGAACAATGAAGTCCTTTTTGAGTATAAAGGTAAATAAATAAAGAAGAGCTAATAGGCAGACAAATAGCCATGTCTTAGCTAACAAAACGACAAAATGGGGGGCATTAAAAATAATTTGCGACGTGATTTTTGAGAATTATAAATGGAAAAATGTGTTTAAAAAGAAAGTTTCAATAAAAATAATTAGTTAAATTTTTTTGATAAGGATTAATAATTAGTTAAATTTTTGGATAAATTAAGATTAATCAGTGATGCAAAAAATATTTCATATCAATAACACACAAGAAAAGGAAAAAACTCAATTAATTAACTTTTATTTAATAAATTTACAAATATGTTTTTATCACTTAATTAGTTAATGAGGAATTGTGTCATTGATTTCATTAATATATAATTTTTTTACCAATAATGTAAATAAAAATTAACTCATGACATGAGACTATCGTGTCCACGAGTTCAATACTCTCTCGAAATAGATGTGTCTTGGACATATTTTAACACTTCAATAGACTGTGTTCTCACATGTAGACATTCTTCATCACGAGTACTTACAAAATTGACATGTTACTATTACAAATACCTGTTAATAAATATGTCTCTATCTCGATACATTATTTGATATGTGGATTCAAAATTTTTAAAAATAAATAAATCTCGATAAAAATAGAAATAAAGAAGGGAGAATTTGAGATTTTTTTAAAGAATAAATCTTAAGAAGAATAAAACAAAAAGAGAATGAGAATTTGAGATTTTTTTACAAAAAAAAAAATATCGATAAAAATAAAAACAAAGAAGGAAATATTTGAAAATTTTAAAAAAAGAAAAATATTTTTTTTATAAAAATAGAAAAAGGAAGGGAGGATTTGAGATTAAAAAAAATGTTGTGGAATATCATGTCTCTTAATAATTTTTTTTAGACTTAGGAAGTTATTCTCATATTAATATATAATTTTTTTTGTCATGTTATTTGTATTATATATATATCATGTCCAGGGGCAGACCTTCTTGGTGACAGGCTCCCCCAAATTTATCTAAACAGAATTATATATATATACGAAATGACTAGTGAATGATAATATTTTTTTAGATTTCATTATCATGTATGTTCATTTTGAGTAGAAAAAATGAGAAATTCTGTTATTTTTTTAATTAGTAAAACATTTAATTTATATATAAAAAGATTAATTTGACACTCTTTATTTTTTTATCCAAGTTCGCCACTTATCATGTCCAAGTGTCCTATGTTTTTTTTGTTTTGTCGCATCCCCGTGTTTGTGTTGTGTCATGTTCCTATGTCATTTTCGTGCTACATAGATTCTAACTCTACAGTTATTTTAAAACAAATCAAATTTTTACATTGAATTAACTCAATTAACAATATTAATACTAGTATCAATTAGAGATGTAAATAGATTGGGTTGAGTTTTGACTATTTTAGTATTCAATCCAATTAAACTTGGTTTGAAGAAGGTTGAGTTTGTGAAATTTTTTTAAAGTGATCTAACCTGAATCAATCAAACTACAATCAAATTAGGTCTAATTGAGCCATCAGGCTAAGTAATTAAAAAAAAAATGAAACAACTAAATAAAACAAAAAAAAGGAAGATACCTTATTTAAATTTTAATACATGATTCAAAGTACAAATATTATTATAACTTGGGAGAAAAAAAAATACTAAAAGGGAGTTAAACAGTGTCAATTCAAAAATTGCCATTTTTTAAACAATGAAGTAGTATCCAAACCTTAAGAGTTTAGGTACAAATAATGTTAAAGAATATCATATATAAAAAAATGATTTAGCTATCAAACATCATAAATGGTATATTTAATACATTCATATTAACATAAACAAAATATTTCATTTGAAATACTATATGTCATCATAATCAATAATCTTTCAAAATTATCTTTTTATACGAACTAAAAAGCATTTATTTATAAAAAAAAATATAAGTTTATTAACAATAAAACTTATGTCCTTGAGGAATTCAAAATCATCATTTAATCTAAAACCAACAATCATACATAAAAAATTATAAATATCCCAAAAAACTAAACATTATGTTACTAAATAACATTTTTTTTTAATTGCATAATAAGTAATATTAAATTATTTTTCTTACTTTGTATCTTTTTTCATTTTGGTCAATCAACTTATTACTTATTTGATAAAATAACTTGAATTTAAAATATGCAAAAAAAAATATTATATTTGTGTCTTATGTAATATTTTTAATTTACTTTAACATTTTATTATATGTTATATATTAGGTTAGATTTGTTTGGATAACAAACTTCTTGATTTGTTATCCAATTCAATTATAATATAATGATATAAAATTATTCAACTAAGTCGATAATTTAACTCAACTTGCAAAAAAAATAAATAATAAAGTTGAATAATATTTTGAATTTATTTTAATAATTCATTATATGTTAAATTAAAATCAAATTGATTCGAATAACAAGCTCTTTAATCTGATATCTAACTCAATTATAATTCCAGTCACTTCAGTGTTACTACTAATAACGGAAAGGATTTAGCATTTTTGATAACGGAATAACGCGTCTGATACGCGGAATGCGGAAAGGAATAATGGAATATTCTGGTCTCAATATTTCAACTAATGTACCTTTTTTTTTTCAAATGATTTTTCTGTACTTGTTAATTAGCATTCCTATTACGGGCATGTAAATGTAATTTAGAATAAATCGTCATTTTAAAATTAAATGTAGACTCAAGACGTGTTCGATTTGTGCTGTATCACGTGTAAGGTGAAATGGTGTGAGACTGAGAGATAAATTCCAACTGAACATTCATTGGAAAGTGTGATCGAAAGAAAACCAATCTCATATCGCCAACTTCAAATGCTTAGCCTTAGCCCTAAGCAATGTAATGACATACGTCAAATGCTACCTCAGTTGCCGTTTACGGCCACCAAACATATTTCTTCACACATTTCAAAATTCCAACGGAGAATTAATTATATCAATATGTTGAGAAAGATAAATGTGAGCCACATTTAATTTTTTTTAGAATAATGGGGATAAAGTTAAATGTAGGAGAAACTTCTATAAAGGACCATCAATAAAATTATATCAAATCTCGGTGGAAAATCTTTTTTTTTTTTTTTTTGGTCTCGGTGGAAAATCTTAAAACGTTAGATTTATGAATATTTTTTTATTTATGTTACTTAGTATTTTTAGTTTTGTTTAATATAAAATTTTCATTTATATTTATATATTGATACAACTTATACCACTAGAATTAATCTAGTAGTTGGGTGAGGAGATGTTGGGATAGTTAGAAACATAAGGACTTAGACTCAATTCTCATTGCGACTATCTTTGTAATATTTTCAATCTTTATAAAAAAAAAAATATATTGATACAACTTAACATTTCTTAAACGTACATTTAGTAGTTGTTTCTCACGTTTTAAATTTTAATTCATAATTTATTCAATAATATTTTAAAATTAATTTAATAGCTTTTATATTCTCTCTATTTTCTTTATCATCGTTTAATAAAAGTGACTTATTCTAATTTAACGGCTGTCCTGTAATAATATTAAGGGATAATTAGATATTTTTCTAATTATACCTTAAAAAATAATTAATATGTGATTTTTTAACCGTATGTTTAATCGTACCATTGCACGAAGATAAGAAAGAGAGATAAGATGTAATAATGATAATTTTGTATAATTAAATTACTTATCAAAGTATTTGATGTCCTTTTTTTATTTATAAGAATTATAAAATGATGGTGAAATTTAAACCTAAAATTTCATGTATATTATTTTAACTCTGTCAGCATTTGGTCAACTTTAATATCTCATATTCTCATATCTAATGTGTTTTTTAATCTTTATATCATAATTTTAAGCAACAATAATTACAGAATAAAAAAGGATTTGATTATATTTGGTCATTTTTAAAAAGTTAAAGATAAAAATTATTTATTAAAATAAAGTAGAAGTTGTTTGTTAATTTTCATGTTACTTTAAAATTGTTTTTAAAATAAGAATGAATTGATAAAAATAGATAAATAATTATATTTTATTAAGAAAATTTTAGATAGAAATATAAAAGAGGGATAAAAAAGAGTTATTTATTATTTCCATCTTTTTTTTTTAATATAATGCTCAAAGATGAATTATTCTTTAGAAACGTTGAATTTAAAAAATAAAATAAAATAAAAGTGTGAGAATAAAAAATATTCCTTATTTGAGTAATTTGATTTATTTCTCTCTCACTCACGCATGTATATTTTTTTTGTGACGTTTGTATTCCTTTTGCAACAATTCTTTTTGAAGAGTAGTAAAAATTTAAATGATTGTTTCTCTTAGTGGAAGTTCAAATATTCATTCGGCATGTTATGTGAATTGATATTTTCACTACCTAACTCTAGTTGGTGTTCTTATAGTTTAAATACAAATAAGTGTTATAGTTTATTTTTCTATATAAAAATACATGTTTATTTTTAACGATGAGGGTAAGCAAAATTAAGGAAACCCAATTTTGCATCCAATTCTATATCTTTAGACAAAAGCCAAAATGCAAAACTCATCGGTGACTCACTCTGAGTTCAACAAATCAAATGCTAAAAATAAAATTTTAAAGAAATTAATTATTAAAAATTAACGAGTTAATTTTAACTTATAAAAAAATATTATTTTATCTACATTTTTTTTCTTCTCATTATAGTGTTTTTAATAAGTTTAACCAAAGGCATTAATTTTAAATGATTCAAGAGGAATTAATTAACGGTCGTACCCTTTGTGAATTAAATATATGTTGAGTAGAAATTCAAACAATATTTGCGTTTATTCAGTCAATTAATATATTAAAAACGAAAAATAATATGGAATGATGTACCACATCCATGATGAGTAAACATTCAACTCCCAACCACCAACCATGTAGGTATGGTCTAAAATCAGAATAAAAATTATCCTATCATAAATTTCAAACCGACCTAAGGCCCACAGGATTTGGACACGGGCCTCGAGCCTGAACTAGAAGGGTTGGGTCGTTTATTGGGCTAGTTTAGTAGCTTTCGTAAGTTTATTGGGCCGTAAGTTTTCGTAAATTTGGCTAACTACAATCCTAATAAAAAATTAGGTCCTGACTTTCACTGGATTATCAATATACAGTTTTTTTTTATTATAAATAAGATGATTAAATAAATGACTTTATTTTAAAGTATAAAATTAAAATTATAGTTTAACAAAATTAGAGAGTTTAAAATTATAATTTAGTTTTAATTATTTTTAATTTCAAAATTATTTTTTAAATACCAATTAATTTTTAAAATCATTTTAAAGCTTTTGCTTTTTTTTTTTCCTGACAAATCTTTTATATATATACATATTGCATTGAACTAACAAGAAATCTAAAAAAAAAAAAAATAATAATAACAAGGAATGAATTAATATTTGGCATTTAACCGCTTACAATTAAAAAATACAATAATTATCTTGGATGTATTTTTTTTTGTTGGTGTGCATTATCTTGAATGTATTGTTACAAACTTACAATTTACATTACATATTTACGGTAAGAACATCGAGATAATAAAATAAAGAAGTTATCATAATTATAATTGGAAAAAGAAAATCTTTTAAAAACAGATTATAAAAGGAAAATATTACATAAAATTTAATAAATGAATTACCATTTTAGGTAAAATAAAAATTCATTCAAGATTTACTATTTTTATTAAATAATCTAATTAAATATATATTTGTTATAATGAATTTAATTATTATAATTAAATATAATAATACGTTTTTATTAATTAAAACATGAAAATAAAATTGATAAATTTTTGGTGAAAAAATAATAAATATATTAATATCATATTGCATTTGTTTACATGGCAAAACTTTCGTTTATAATATATAACAGATTTATAAAATTTAATATATATTAAAATTCATAAATACATTTAATAAATTGATTGCAATATTGTATCAAATCAAAATAAGATTTACTAATTTAATCAAAATACATATTTATTGTAATTCTTAATTACTATAATTATATATATTTTATAAACTAAATAAAAAAATAAAGAAAATAAATATAAAACATGAACATAGTTATAATTACTATTATTACCATTATTATTATTATATTTATACTTAAAATAACATAATAATTTTTTTGCCATTATATTATACATTTACATAATGTTTGATTGGAGGAAAATAGAACAAAAGAAGAGATAAATTTTTACAAAAAATTCTTATTTGGTTTTATTTTTTGGAAGAATATGAAAGTAAAATCTCTTATAATTCAATTTTAACTCCCTTTCAATATTGAGAGATTTGAAAAGAGAAGAAAGATTTTAAAATATTTTTAATATAATATCTATAAAATTTTTATTTATGTTATCAAATTTAAAATTATAAAAATACAAAAATAAATTAACTTTTAAAATTATTCTCCTCTTATAAATTATATAAGAAAAGAATTACATGCTTTTTCTTGCCTTTGCTTTCCCGTTAAAATTCTTCTACTTTCCTCTCCTCCTTTCAACCATTTATGATTACTTTCCCCAAAATTGTCAATTATTGAAAATCATTAGCATTAAATAATTTAATGAAAGAACTATCGTAATGAAGACTTTTGAGCAATTCACTAAACACTTCAAAAAAAAAAAACCCATCAAACAATAAAATGTGAATTAAAATTATAAATAGTTAAGATTAATACAATACAAGATTAAAAAAATAATTTAACACTACTTATAAATAGTGTTAGTCAAACCTCGTTTAATATATATTTTTTTATATATCCCTCATTTAATATTTATTATAAGAGCAATTATAAAGTTGAATCATGAATGTAATTATTAAATAAGAATATATATGGAGAGAAATCTATAAATTGTTATTATAAAGTTGTAATAATAAAAAAATCACTTTAATTAAAAAAAATTATTTCATAATGTTTAATAATTCTATTAGCATATTATGTAAAATAAAAATTTATTTAAGATTTAATAATTAAATTAATAATTTAATCTGAATACATATTGTTATGATGACAAATGTTCTTTTATGAATTTTAAAATAAGAAAAACATAAAGAGTTTTAGTAGAAAAATGTTGATATTTGTCTCTGACAAAGGAATTTATGGCTTATGGGTGAATTTTGTGCAACAAATGAGTTTTATGTGACAGATTCGAAAAAAAAAATTGAAATATTATTTTAAAAAATCATAGAAATTAAAAATATTTTAAAAATTTAGCGACTAAAAATAAGTTTATCCAATATAAATGACGACAAAGGGATTGAAATAGGATTTCAATTGATTTTATTTTCATGTTCTTTTTGATAACATTTCTCTAATTATAATTCTTAATGAATTGATATATATATTTTTATTAATGTTATTAAATTTGAATAATATATTTAAATTTTTTATATTCAATAACAGGTTAAGCTGTCAAAAATTGACAAGCATGATAAACTATCTTATTAGTTTTTTTTAAGTCAATTTAGATTGAACTCTTTATTTTTAGGCCAAAAAAAGATCATTCCAATTGAACCAATAAAAATTTGGCCAGAGAGGTATTAAGTCTATTTGGTTCAACGATTTTTTTTCTTTTAAATTACATGTAAAATTATTAAAAATAAATAATTATTTTCAAGTTACATGTACATATATTAATTTAATCATATTCAAGTTAATATTGCATATAACTTAAATAGTTAAATTTTCACTCTCATAATCACACACTCAAAGTTTTATTTTCATCTTTTTTGAAGATGTATTTCACACACTAATTTTATAAATAACTTAAATACTTAATACATAAAAATTTATATTACAAAATCTCAATTATAAAAATCTTTAAAAAAAAAAATCTTAAAGTTATTACATTCTTCCAAACTTTTTAATTTCTTTTGAATATTTCATTCCTTTAAAAATCTTTTAAAATTAATAATCCAATAATCTTACGCGATCTCAATCTAATAAAATAATTAAAAAAAACTTAAATTGAGTCACCGAATATGAACCTTTTGTTAGGCCATCAAACATTGTGATGCAAAGCACGCAACAATAGAGGAAAATGATCTCACGAGTCACGAACATATATAAAAAGCATCAACCATGACATAAACTCTGTATCTAGCTAGGAAACCTCTTGTTCCCTCACATATATATGACAATGGTTTATCCCCCATCATTTCCTCCATGCTTTGTAACAATCATTTGTCTCATGCTTCTTCCTTCACACCTCTCAGCCAACATTGATAGAGGGTTCAGTGTTAACCTCATTCGAAAAAACTCTCCCCATGTCCTCCCTCTAGACACTCCACAAGCCTCAATAAATGCTTACCTTGGTCATTATCTCATGGAGCTCTCCATTGGAACTCCACCATTTCCCATTTATGCCATTGCAGACACAGGCAGTGACCTCACGTGGACCCAATGCGTCCCATGCAACAACTGCTATAAACAACGTAACCCCTTGTTCAATCCTCACAAGTCTTCCTCGTACACAAATATATCATGTCAATCAGATCTATGTCACAAAATTGACACGGGCGTGTGTTCTCCTCAGAACCTTTGCAATTACACATATGCATACGCGTCTGCTGCTATTACACAAGGTGTTTTGGCGCAGGAAACAATCACCTTAACCTCAACCACGGGAAAACCTGTGTCTCTTAAAGGCATTGTGTTTGGTTGTGGACATAACGACACGGGGGGTTTTAATGATCATGAGATGGGTATCATAGGACTAGGAGGAGGGTCAGTGTCTTTCATTTCTCAAATAGGTTCTTCCCTTGGAGGGAAGAGATTTTCCCAATGCTTGGTTCCATTCCACACTGACCCTAGTGTTTCTAGCAAAATGAGTTTTGGAAAAGGGAGTGAAGTGTTAGGGGAAGGAGTGGTTTCTACACCTTTGGTTGCTAAGCAAGATAAGACCCCCTATTTTGTTACCTTACTAGGCATTAGTGTGGGAAATAACTATTTGCATTTTAATGGTTCTTCAAACATTGTTGCAAAGGGTAACATGTTTCTTGATTCAGGGACTCCCCCAACTATTTTACCTACCCAATTGTATGATCAAGTTGTGGCTCAAGTGAAAAGTCAGGTTGCGTTGAAACCTGTTACCGATGACCCTAGTTTGGGCCCCCAACTTTGCTATCGGACCAAGACTAATCTTGATGGGCCTTTGCTAACGGCCCATTTTGAAGGTGCAAATGTGACATTGAAGCCTATTCAAACCTTCATTTCGCCTAAAGATGGAGTTTTCTGCTTGGGGTTCACCAACACTAGTAGTGATGGAGGGGTTTATGGTAACTTTGCGCAATCAAATTACTTGATTGGATTTGATCTAGAAAGACAAGTGGTCTCTTTCCAACCAACAGATTGCACCAAACACAAATAGAGTTACGCGTAAGCCCTACTATAAAAGTATCTATGTAGTGCGGTTCTTGATTCACATATGAATCATGGATTTTGCTTAAAGAGAAGATTTCCAAAAGTTTCAATTTATTCACAAGATATCCATTCCATCTTATTTGTGATTCCTTAACAAATAAATAACATAAAGAAAGAAGTTGTCTTCATTTCTTTCTTTAGGAAATCAAATCGGGTACAAGGAGAAAACAAGCGGTAGTGTGTTTGGTTTGGTTATATGAAATTATGGTGGATAGATAATCAATGATGAATTTATCATAAAAAAAATTATTTGATGTTTCTAAAAATAATGGCCCGTTAAATTAATTTTAATGTTTCTTTTGTTTTATGCAAATATGCAATCTATGTGCTCCCTTTTCTTCCTTTAAAAAAATAAAAACATGAAATTTATTGTTTAATTAATGAATGATAATTTCTCATCATTGACTTAAAACTTGGTCTACTTTTTAGTGGTAAAAAGAAATTATCAGGAACGTGTACAATTCCTTTTTATATCTCCATAAATTTTTCTGCTCTTAAGGTGTATTCTGAACATTTCATTTCTTTTAAATGCATATCTTAATTGTTGTTGCTTTTCCATTTACTACTTTATTTTAAACATTATGTTTTTTTTTTAAAATTATAATTTAGTTGAACAATTATAATTTGTTTTTAATATTTTACTTTCATTGGAGACAAAATTACTACTTTTAATATATATATATATATAATTATATTACTACAATCAAGTTATATTAAATTAAAAATAAGAATAAAATTAAACATGAAAAATTAATTAATTGAAAAATAAGAACAGTATTAAAAGCAATAAAATATTGTTCCTAATATATTAAAAATTAAAAATAAATTACAAATTTTTTATATAATTAATATGTATGTATAAAATAATAAATACACTAGTTAATTAAATTATGTACCTAAAATAATCTATTAATATTCATTTAAAATATTTTTTTACCTTAATTATCTTATTATTTTTCATGTTATTAACCATATAAGCACTACTAAACTAATTGAAATTAATAATAAGGTCTAAGAAAATATTAAGAAGATGTCAATACCTATAAGACTGACAATTTTTTTTCCAAAGAGTACAAAAGACAAAAGCATATTATAAAGATTAGAATCTATATATCTTATACAACTTTAAAGTAATTATTATAAAAAGGAATAAATTTATCATGCATTACAATGTATGAATCGATACAATGTAAAAAATATATATTTATATTATCATTATATTTCATTTAAATTCATATTTTTTTTATTGCACTTGATTTTCATTTAAAACAAGTAAATATATCATTCTTTTACATGTTTTAGTTTTTTTACTTATTTATTAAATTTTTATTTTAAAGATATATTTTAAAATCTCAAATATTTATAATTTTAAAATTTATAATTAAATTTTACGTTTTGTAATAAATCTCAATTGCTGTGCTTTTCTGTATTAAACTAAGAAAATAATGATCCATTTTCGTCGTTATTCTCTTTCTATATAAATAAAAATAATTATGTTAAATGATAAAGTATGTAATATTTTTTAAAATCTTTTTCTTTTCAATGAAAATATTCTTAAAGATTTTTTTGAATTTTTTTTCTTTATGAATATGGCCCATACAATTTATCAAATTTGACAATCAAATAATATGTACTTGACATGATGTGGTAGTGGCTAATCCTGTCCCAAAGCATTATTTTTAAGCTGTAATCTCAACTCAAATAATTTCCTTTCTTTTCTATTTAAAAATTGAATTTTAATATTTTTAAAAAATATTAATAATAAAAATAATCTTATATCACAATATAAATAATTTATTATTAATTTAAAATATAATTTATATTAATTTTTTTTAATAAATTTTAATATAAGATAATTTATATATTTAAAATTATTTTTCTATTATAATTTTTAATCATGTAAAGTAATATTTATTATTTAATATTTAATATTTATTTGAATAAGTTTTTCCAAAATTATTTCTAAAAGAAAAAAAAAACTAGAATAGGAATTTGCAATAAATTTCTCTATAAGATAAAGGTAACTTATCCATGAATAAAAAATTAGATTTTGAAGAAATTAATAGAATAAAATTTTTATAAATTAGCTCATGTATAAATTAATTTTAATTTATGAATTACTTTATTTTATTTTTCTCCATTTTTTCTTTCCTAAAAATATTTATGAAGAAGTTTATTCAAATAAACTTCTTTTTTTTTTTTTACAGTGAGTGAAGAAAATTAAAAAGAATACGAATGACGAGAATTAAATTTAAATTTTCTTATTTCTAACTATCTAAACCTTTAGACTAACCTAATGATTTCTAAACAAACTGATATTACACATTCTATAATACTAATTTATCAACAAATTATTCCTTCAAGTAAAATTAGATTTGACTCCCTTAAGTAAAAAACTAAAAATTTTAAACAACTATATTTTACCCGATTTATGATGAACCATGATGTAATTTGTTGAATAGGATTTTTTTTAGTTTATTATTCTTTTGGTCATTTATAGACATTTTTGTTTCACTGTTTAGAGCTAATTAAATATTGTCACTTACTTTTTATAAAATGCAAATAAAAAGTCAATGAGGAATATACCAAAAAAATAATATTAAATGAGGATTGGACTAAATATACTATTTATAAGTAGTGTTAAATATTTTTTTTATTTTGTATTATATTAACATTAAATATTAATAGTTTTGATTCACATTTTATAGTTTAATTCATTTTTTTAAAAAAATGTTTAATGAATTGTTGAAAATTCTTTATTATTGTAATTAATTCATTAAATTATTTAACACTAATCATTTTCAATAATTGAGAAATCTGGAGAAAGTTGATTAATCATTAAAAATAAACTGTGATTCTGAAATATATGTGATCTTGACTATTGTAATATTTAAAAATGTGTTATATTTTAAATATTGTAATATTTAATAAAAGTAAAGGAGAAATCAAGTTACTTTAAAATATTAAAATATTTTTAATGTGTTATATTTTCAATGTAATGTAATTGATAAATAATCTTGTATCTTAACCTTATAATCAATGGTTTAATCATTAGTGATATATATGAATAAACATTTGTCAGAAAAAATCAACCCATTAAATAAATTTTAATATTTTAAATTTTCTTTTGTCACATAGCTTGAATAATTAAGTTTTAATTAATGAATATCTTTAGTTTTTTTTAAGAAAAAGAATTACTCATCATTGTAATAATTTTTTTCTTTTAGTATAATGATTAAAATAAAGACGAGTTATTCATTCATATTGAATGAAAATAAAAAGGAAGGATTTCTTACGAAAATATTTACACTTGTATTTTAAAATTGTTTATATATATATATATATATATATATATGTGTATTAATGTATGTATGTATGAAAAAAAAATCCTCTACTTTGCGCATAACTTCATGGCCAACCTTCTCTCCTTGCATGTGTGCCTTATTGTACTGTGTACGTTCTTATTATGTCAAACATCAATGGGAGCTTACAACTCCGGATTCCGTGTTCAACTAATTCGCAAGAACTCACCCAATTCTCCCTTCCACAAATCACAAGAACTTCCTATACATAAACATGCCTCATTTTACCAAGTTCCCAAGAAACCATATGCCACAAATGGTGCCTTAGCAAGTGTGACATCCAACAATGGTGACTATCTCATGAAGCTCACATTGGGAACACCACCATTTGATGTGTATGGTTTGGTTGACACAGGCAGTGATCTTGTGTGGGCACAATGTGCACCTTGCCAAGGCTGTTATAAGCAGAAAAATCCATTGTTTGAACCTCTAAGGTCCAAAACATACACTCCTATTCCATGTGATTCAAATCATATGCCACAATTATAATGTATTTCATTCACATACACAAGTTACCTTTCTAATTCTCAAAAAGCATGCTTGAGAAAATGGAACTAAGCTAGAAACAAATAATAAAAGATAAAGAATAAACTATCATAATTATTGAAGACTATCCCAGCAACAGTGAAGGAGTGAACCACACATTAGATTTCATGTAATTTAAAGGGCTACATTTCTAGCAATCCAAAAGATGTAGGAAAGCCAGCCATAATTATACAATAATGCTATCAAAAACCATACATGTGCCCCATTAGTAGAACATAATAGAATAATGGATAATCACAAAATAATTTCATCTCATTTCAAATACACTTATGAATCATCATTAATGCTTACTCAATATTCACTTTACATTCCCCTAACAGAATAAATTACAATCAATAAGCAAGGATAAACAATAGCTTTATCAACCAAATGAGACGCAAAGTAACAACAACAAATAACCAACTC